ACACACACACACACACACACACACACACACACACACACACACACACAGAGTGCGCCGCGAAGCTTGCGGGATCTTAGTTCATCTTAGTTCCCCGACCAGGGATCGAACCTGGGCCCGCTGCAGTGGAAGCTTGGAGTCTTAACCACTGGACCGCCAGGGAATTCCCCCTCTTTGCCCTTTTTTTAAAATAATTAATTAATTAATTAATTAATGTATTTATTTATGGCTGCGTTGGGTTTTCGTTGCTGCACGCAGGCTTTCTCTACTTGCGGCAAGCGGGAGCTACTCTGTTGCGGTGCGCAGGCTTCTCATTGCGGTGGCTTCTCTTGTTGCAGAGCATGGGCTCTAGGTGCATGGGCTTCAGTAGTTGTGGCACACAGGCTCAGTAGTTGTGGCTCATGGGCTCTAGAGCGCAGGCTCAGTAGTTGTGGCGCACAGGCTTAGTTGCTCTGTGGCATGTGGAATCTTCCCAGACCAGAACTCGGACCCGTGTCCCCTGCATTGGCAGGCGGATTCTTAACCACTGCACCACCAGGGAAGCCCCCCCCACCTCATTGCCCTTTAAATTGAATATGATGGGGATACTGTAGTCAGCAAGGTCTGGGCTTTTCGTGTTTGAACAGGCTGGTTTCTGGTCTCTCTGCCTTCCTGGGTTGCTTTCCATCTTGTAACCTTAAGAAACTGACAGTGGGACTTCCCAGTGTCCCCCCACAAACGCTAACCCTTATCCTTTCTCCTGCACAAGCCCCTTTCCCAATCATCTGCCACTTCCTGTTACCTCCCTCTCCCCACGTACCTCCTTCAAGGTAGAGAAATAAAGCTGAGCCTGGTTCCAGGTGGCCGTAAAGGTCTGTTTAACGAGGAAGTGTATTTGTGTTTTCTGGATATTTTAAATTTCTTTTTAAAAATGATCTTAGTTTTGTTGATTACAAAAGTACTATTTGCCCAGTGAAGAAAAACAAAACAAAAAGCATTAGTGGAGAAAATAGTAATCATTGATTCCCCCACCTAGAAATAACATCTGTTAACATTCCAGAACATTTTCTTCCAATCTTTGTGTGTGTGGGGGGGGTCATTCTATATTTGTGGTTTTTGTGTTCCATTTTTGATTTTGTCATGAGCATTTTCTCATGTCATTTAAAGAGTTTTTATAAGTAATGCCTGCCTAACAGTCTACATCATCTCTACCATAATTTGCTTAATCATTATGTGTGTACTTAATTATCAAGTTACCTTAATAGTAAACACCTAGACAAAAAGGTAAGGCTAATAAAGTGTTCTGTTTAGTTCCATTTCTCAGGATCTTCAACTTAGCTTATCTTTCTTCCAGGGAGTAAATTGGACACAAGTACATTATGAGAGTTTTCAGGTATTTCCATGCCTTCTCTGATTTTCCTCTTCTCTTTCCATTTGATTTTTTTCAGTGGGAAGAGAGACAGAGCACATATCTTCACCCTGGGGAGAGTCCTCACCAGAAGAAATCCGATTTGGGAGTCTGACCTACAGTGATCCTCGTGAGCGAGAGCGTGACCAGCACGATAAAAATAAAAGGTAACAACCTTCGCGGGTGGGAGCTGCAATTTCATGACGCTTAGATTCTCCAAAATCAGGACTCTTAGCACATTATGTGTCATTTGTTATACTAAGTGCTGTTTGGCCTTGAGCTTGTTTCTCTTAAAGGAACTGACCGGAATTTTGAATTTGATCCAGGCTTCTGGACCCCGCCAATACCCAGCAATTTGATGACTTTAAGAAATGCTATGGAGAAATCCTCTACCGCTGGGGTCTGAGGGAGAAACGAGCTGAAGTGCTGAAGTTTGTTTCCTGCCCTCCTGATCCTCACAAAGGAATCGGTGAGTAAGAATTTCTTTCTGTTCCCGTCACTCTCTGAAAAGTCCTATAATTTAATGTGCCCATAACATAATACTTGGAATGAAGTTCCAGTTTCTCATTTATAAGCAGAAATTTCTGAAGCATTTTGAGCCTGTTTCAAGCTTCTGAAAACCCTGGCATTTCATGAGGTGATTACATTTTTATTGTAACGGAAGAAGTTTTCCATACAATCCTCAGATATTGATTGGAAGTAGGGATATTTATTCAGTGATTCAACTAATGTTTATCAAATTCCTCTCAGTCACAGTGCTAGCACACTCACTCCTTCCCGTGGTGGAACTCACAGACCAGTGGGAGAGAAAAATATAATTACAAATTGTGATCAGTATTTATGAGCAAACAAAAGGGGTGTTGGGGCAGGGAAGCAGCGGGGGAGAATCTTAGAAGATGTGTTGAGCTGTATCGGGAAGGCTCTCTGAGGAGCTGAGGTTTGCAGGATGGGGTGGAGCCACACATGCAGCGAGAGAGCAGCACGAAGGGCATCCCATGCAGAGGGAGCAGGTCCGTGGGGGAAATAACTTGTTCTTCTAAACAAGTGGAGGAAGACCAGTGTGGCTAGAACATAAGGAGTGAGAAGAGTGATGTAAAATTAGACTGTAGGATAGTCAGACTTGAGAGTCATGGTAAAGAATTTGGATTATATTCTAAGTCCAATGGTGAACTTCAAAGGGCATCAATAGGTAAGTTATATGACTTCCCTGGTGGTCCAGTGCTTAGGACTCTGTGCTTTCACTGCCATGGGCCCGGGTTCGATCCCTGGTCAGGGAACTAAGATCCCGCAAGCCGTGTGGTGAGGCCAAAAAAAAAAAAAAAGTAAGTGATGTGCTCTTGTTTCCATTATAAGAGGATCCCTTTGGCTGTTATAGGAAGAAAGGGTTGGAGGAGGATAGAAGCAGAGGTAGGAAGGCCATTTGAAGATTCTTAGAGTAGTCAGAGAGAGATGGACAGCCTAGTCTCTGGGTGACATCAGTGAAGGTGGAGAGAGATGAGTGGAGTAAAAATGTATTTTAGAGGTAGACTCAATATGACTTACTAACAAGTTGGGTATGGGCTTGAGGAGAAGAGGCAAAGCTTAGATGATTCCCAAGTTTCCAGCTCAAGCAACTGGGTAGATGATGGTGCCATATTCTACGATAGAAAAGATTGGAAGAAAATTGAAAACTCAGTTTGGGACAATTGGAAATGTTGGTGAGGTTCAGACTGTAGAAGTCATGCAGGCAGTTGGATATGAGTCTGGAGCTGAAACGACAGTTCAGGGCTAAAACTAGGAATGTGGGAATCTTCCCCATGTCGGTGGTGTTCAAGCTGTGAGAGTTGAGTGCGTTTACCTGGGAGCTGGGGGGTGGGGAGGAAGAGGATGGGAGGAGCAAATAAGAAAGCCCACTTACTCTGGGCCTTGAGAGAAACCAGGACTTGGGGATTGAGTCTTGGAGGAAGAACCTGAAACAGAGACTTAGAATGAGATATCAGTGAGTTTTGAGGAAAAGCAAGACTGTACTATGAAAGAAGCTAAGAGAAGAGATGTTTTCTAAAGAGTGACATGGGGCTTCCTTGGTGGTGCAGTGGTTGAGAGTCCGCCTGCCGATGCAGGGGACACGGGTTTGTGCCCCGGTCCGGGAGGATCCCACATGCCGCGGAGCGGCTGGGCCTGTGAGCCATGGCTGCTGAGCCTGCACGTCTGGAGCCTGTGCTTCGCAACGGGAGAGGCCACAACAGTAAGAGGCCCACGTACCGGTTAAAAAAAAAAAAAAAAAAAAAGAGTGACATGAAAGACAGATACAAGAGTGGACTGAACACACACTGATTTCCTTTCTCTCCCAGATCCTGCCGAAGTGCCTACATAGAGCTTTTCTGTAAAGACACAACCATGCGAGGAGAAGTAATGTTGGCAGTAAAACTTGGGACCTGGTGGGGCAGATAGGTTAGTGATACCTAATCTCACGGGGAGAAAGCTGAGCCCTGAACTGGCAGGCAGAAAAACAGCAACGCACATGGCAGAACCCCCAGGTGGCTCAGGTACCGCGTACCTCTGCAAGTGGCATGAAGGTGAGGTCAAAACAGGAGTATTGTGTCATGGCCTTTCTAGGGTCCCCAGATCCCCACTCCTAGTTTGCAGAGCAGTTACCACCCTTCCTCTCCCCCAGCAGAAAACGGAAGTTCATTCTCCAAAGAAGGTGGACACATTTCCCAATAAAGGGGCCGCCACGTAGCTAGCATACGAATGAGGAAAGACCCAGGAATGTAGAGAAGATCCTAGAAGCTTCCAGAGAGAGAAAACAGGTCACATACAAAGGGTAGGAATACGAATAGCATCACACTCCTCGGGAGCGGTGAACTAGATACTGGAACTAGATGACAGCAGTGCAGCAGTGCCTTCCCTGTTCTCAAGAAAATGACCCTCTTAGAATCTCTTAGAATTCTAACCTAGAATTCTGTACCCAAGTTATCCATCAAGTGTAAAAGTAGGCCTTCAGCCTATCCAAGGAGGAGAAATAGATTCAAGCCAGGAAACCAGGGTGTTGGGATGATGGTGAAGGGAGATGTACGTGACAGACCTGAAGACAGACCAGTCCAGGTTGGAGCTTCAGAGCATTGTCTCCAAGAAGAGAAAAAAAAATCTGTGTATTTCAGTATATATAGTGTATTTCAGTATTCAGTGTATTTACAGAAGATTCAGATGTTTGGAGATGAATTATCAATAAGTATGTAACTAAGCAAACAAGAAAAACAAGACTAACTCTAGGAGGAACAAAATGTGCAAGAAAGAAAGGAAGTCATCATGGTACGTGGCTTGGCTTGAATAATATTTACCTAGAGAAATAATGTGAAGACAGTGCTGATCCAACCAACTGATAATAGAACCACATGGGGAAGATGAGGAACAGGTGGTACATGAGTCTGGTTGGGGAGATTGGGGAATGAAAGAGCTTCCACCGGGGAAGGTCAAGAGACAGTGCTTAAATATGACAATTAAGAAATAGCTTTATGAACATGTTGTGTAGAGATAGGGAGGTAGGAACAGAAGAAATAGTTAAGAATTTCCTCTAGAGGGTGATGGATGTGGGAGTGGAAGGGAATGCTGCTTTTCATAACACGATACATAGAATAATTTGACCCTTTAAGTTGTGCAAGTATAGTTTCAATTAAAAAAAAACCAAACTAATATATAAATACATACATACTAATACATACATTGAATAACAAGGATTATTTTAATATGGAGTATCTTTTTTTTAATTTATTTATTTTTTTAAATTTTTGGTTGTGTTGGGTCTTTGTTGCTGTGCACGGGCTTTCTCTAGTTTTGGCGAGCGGGGGCTACTCTTCGTTGCGGTGCACAGGCTTCTCATTGTCCTGTCTTCTCTTGTTGCAGAGCATGGGCTTTAGGTGCGCAGGCTTCAGTAGTTATGGCACGTGGGCTCAGTAGTTGTGGCTCTCGGGCTCTAGAGTGCAAGCTCAGTAGTTGTGGCGCACGGGCTTAGTTGCTCCGTGGCATGTGGGATCTTCCCGGGCCGTGGCTCAAACCCGTGTCCCCTGCATTGGCAGGCGGATTCTTAACCACTGCGCCACCAGGGAAGCCCCAAATATGGATTATCTTGGTGCGCGTATGTAAAGAAATGCAGACAGAAAATGCTATTTGGGTACATATTTTTCAGAGCATCTACATGCATGAAAGTATATCAGGGAGAGATTAATGATGGCCTGGAGCAATTTGTCTTTTAAAATTAGTTTCCAGGAAAATAAATGAATCACAGAGATGTAACTGATGTGTCAATCCATCAATCAGTTAGACGTATTGACATCTCCTATTATAAAGGTCGTGCTGGGTTCTGTGGGCTGGACAAAGAACTGTAAGGTGTGGTTTGGGGAGGGGGTCATTCAAGAAGTCTATAATCCAATCAGAGAGATGAAACAGAAGCTCATGAAGACTTAAATGATGTTTGAGAATGAATAGTCTGTCCTAATACCATTACAAACAATGCTACAAAATTTCAGAAAGAAGGGGGGAGTGTGGATTGTGGAAGAGTCACAGACAAAAACGTTAAGTATTTCATCCTTAAAGTTTTTCCTTTGGAAGAGTCAGACTACCCAAATACAGGAAATAGCAGGTGTTGAATATGACAAGGTTGCCAAGTTGGTCTCCTCCTGGTGGAAAACCAGCAGTTTCCTCTCACACTTACCACATCTGCAAGGGTCACTCCATATCAGCAGCAAGATTTGAGGGATGAAGTTGTTTTCATTTAGGGGATTAGATATTTATAGAAAGGACTCCAGGCTTCATTTATTTTGAGGGGATAATGCTAGACAGAGTATTCTTTACAAAAAGAAAAAAGGAAAAAAAAACTCCATATGCAAGGTGGTTTTTGTCTTTGTTTTTTCTATTGAGGTATGAGGCGCTAGGTCAGAATGGTGGTAGAGAAGGTGCAGCCCACCCCCAGTTCCTATCTGCCCACCTGAATTTTATTCAGCAATTTTCTGTTTTGGTTTATTAATTTAATGTCTTATTTACTTGGCTGGGTTTACTTACATTTGTGTAACGTGGTGTTAATTAACACACATAACTCTTCTGTGTGATTAACAAACTAGAATTGTATGACACTAAACCTTTGGAGTTAGCTTCCACCTGGAGGTTCTGTAAAGCCTTGGGAATCATAATTTGATCGTTCCATGTACCAGCAGTATTTTTATTGTCCTTACTAGTTTGTCTGTTAGGAACCAAGAATGATCCATTTCGCCTCTACCAGGTTTCACCTGCAAAGCCTGTACCTGTGATTCTGTGCCTCCTTCCCTGAGATCCCCCAAGTTAATCAGTGTTCCAGGGAAAGACACTTGACAGCTTTGTGGTTTTCATCAGTGTCTTATAGTTTTCCGAGTAAAGGTCTTCTACCTCCTTAGGTAGGTTTATTCCTAGGTATTTTATTCTTTTTGATGTGATGGTAAATGGGATTGTTTCCTTAATTTATCTTCCTGATAGTTCATTGTTAGTGTATAGAAATGCAACAGATTTCTGTATATTAATTTTGTATCCTGCAACTTTACTGAATTCGTTGATGAGCTCTAGTAGTTTTCTGGTGGTGTCTTTAGGATTTTCTGTGTATGGTATCATGTCATCTGCAAACAATGACATTTTTGCTTCTTCCTTTCCAATTTGGATTTCTTTTATTTATTTATTTTTCTCGTCTGTTTGCTGTGGCTAGGGCTTCCAGTATTATGTTGAATAAAAGTGGCAAGAGTGGTCATCCTTGTCTTGTTCCTGATCTTAGAGGAAATGCTTTCAGCTTTTCACTGTTGAGTATGATGTTAGCTGTGGGTTTGTCCACTTTGTGGAGAGTTTTTTATCATAAATGGATGCTTAATTTTGTCAAAAGCTTAGTTTTGTCAAAAGCTTAATTTTGTCAAAAGCTTTTTCTGCATCTATTGAGATGATCATATGGTTTTTATTCTTCAATTTGTTAATGTGATGTATCACACTGATTTGCTGAAAAATCCTTGCATCCGTGGGATGAATCCACTTGATCAAGGTGTATGATCCTTTTAGTATATTGTTGGATTCAGTTTGTTAAAATTTTGTTGAGAATTTTTGCATCAGTGATATTGGCCTGTAATTTTCTTTTTTTGTGTGGTATCTTTGTCTGGTTCTGGTATCAGGGTGATACTGACCTTGTAAATTATGAGTGTTCCTTCCTCTGTGATTTTTTGGAATAGTTTGAGAAGGATAGGTGTTAACCCTTCTCTAAATGTTTGGTAGAATTCACCCGTAAAGCCTTCTTGTCCTGGACTCTTGTTTGTTGGGAGTTTTTAAATTACTGATTAAATTTCATTACTGATAATTGGTCTGTTCATATTTTCTTTTTCTTCCTGGTTCAGTCTTGGGAGATTGTACATTTCTAAGCGATTTTGAACACATTCCACATCCCTTTGTACCTCTTAAAGTGACAAAAGTTAGCATGTTTACCAGCATCACCCAAAGTGGATGCATACTCTTACCAACTGTTAACTGGTGGTCATGCCATTATGTGCAACAATGAGTGGCAAGAGAGAATATTAAGATTATGCTCAGTGACTTAGTGTTTTTGTATTTTTTCTCTTTGGGAACTTAAATCCATTTAGAAATTGTCTACACCCCTAAAGATTATTTGTTAGTTAAATGAAATATAAGTTCAAGGTCTTAAAGTTAATAAGGATGTTAGAAATTATGTTTAAGTGACACACTAAAAAGAAATGTGATTACTAATGATGTATTGAATTTTTCAGCAAGATGACATTTTAATCATTTTACCCAGATAGAAGTGGAGAATAGTTTACATATACAGTTATCTCAAGTGCCAAAGAACAACCCTTTTAAAAAGATGTGTTATTATCATTCAGTTTACATGAACACACGGTTTTTACATTTTCATAATTTTAAATGTTGAATCTTTTCAAACCAATAAAAAGAGTAAAGGAAACTTAAGAAATATTAACTAATCAGTTTTTAATGAGAACACAAAGGAAAGTCTTACATAATATATACAGTTATGCTTTACAGAAGTAGAACAAAAAATTCTTTAATTTGTATGGAAACACAAAAGACCCCACATAGCCAAAGCAATCCTGAGAAAGAAAAATGGAGCTGGAGGAATCAGGCTTCCTAACTTCAGACTGTACTACAAAGCTACAGTAATCAAAACAGTGTGGTACTGGTGCAAAAACAGAACTATAGATCAATGGAACAGGATAGAAAGCCCAGAGATAAACCCATGCACCTATGGTCAATTAATCTATGACAGAGGAGGCAAGAATATACAATGGAGAAAAGACAGTCTCTTCAATAACTGGTGCTGGGAAAACTGGACAACTACATGTAAAAGAATGAAATTAGAACACTCTCTAACATCATACTCAAAAATAAACTCATAATGGACCAAAGACCTAAATGTAAGGCCAGACACTATAAAACTCTTAGAGGAAAACATAGGCAGAACACTCTTTGACATAAATCGCAGCAATATCTTTTTTGATCTGTCTCCTAGAGTAATAAAAATAAAAACAGAAATAAATAAATGGGACCTAATTAAGCTTAAAAGCTTCTGCAGAGCAAAGGAAACCATAAACAAAACAAAAAGACAACCCACAGAACGGGAGAAGATGTTTGCAAATGAAGCGACCAATAAGGAATTAATCTCCAAAATATGCAAACAGCTTATGCAGCTCTGTATCAAAAAAACCCCCAAACAACCCAATCAAAGAATGGGCAGAAGACCTAAATAGACATTTCTCCAAAGAAAACATACAGATGGCCAAAAAGCACATGAAAAGGTGCTAAACATCACTAATTATCAAAGAAATGCAAATTAAAACTACAATGAGGTATCACCTCACACCAGTCAGAATGGCCATCATCAAAAAGTCTACAAACAATAAATGCTAGAGGGGGTGTGGAGAAAAGGGAACCCTCCTACACTGTTGGTGGGAATGTAAATTGGTGTAACCACTATAGAGGTTCCTTAGCAAACTAAAAATCGAACTACTGTATGATCCAGCAATCCTACCAGGACATATATCCAGAGAAAAACATACTTTGAAAAGACACATCTCTATGGTCATAGCAGCACTATTCGTAATAGCCAAGACATGGAAGCAACTTAAGTGTCCACTGACAGATGAATGGATAAAGAAGATGTGATACGTATATACAATGGAATATTATTCAGCCATAAAATAACAAAATAATGCTATTTGCAGCATCATGGATGAACCTAGAGATTATCATACTAAGTGAAGTAAACCAGAAAGAGAAAGAGAAATATCATATGATATTACTCATATGTGGAATCTAATTTTTTTTAAATGATACAAACGAACTTATTTACAAAACAGAAACAGACGTACAGATACTGAAAACAAACTTATGGTTACCAAAGGGGAAACGTGACGGGGGAAGGATAAATCAAGAACTTGGGATTAACATACACACATCACTATATATGATAGATAACCAACTAGGACCTACTGCAGAGCACAGGGAACGCTACTCAATATTCTGTGCTGACCTATATGAGAAAAGAATCTGAAAATGAATGAATATATGTATAACTGAATCACTTTGCTGTATACTTGAAACTAACACAACATTGTAAATCAACTATACTCCAAGAAATTTTTTTTTTAAAAGTTATGCTTAGAGAAAGAAGACACCTTTTTTCTGTGGGGGTGGGGGGGGCTGCGTTGGGTCTTCCTTGCTGTATGTGGGCTTTCTCTAGTTGCAGTGAGCGGGGGCTACTCTTCATTGCGGTGCGTGGGCTTCTCATTGTGGTGGCTTCTCT